TTATTTTGTACTCTATAAGGTATTAAAATATAATACAGTTATAATATAGGTATATTACATAATATAGTCATAATAAAGTATAGACGTAAATGTATATAATACGAAATACGAATATTGAGGGTCATTATGATTGGAGTAAATTATGAAAGTAGGCAAAGTAGCAAAATGCATAATATATAGGTAGTCATGAGTCATTATAAAGGTTTATGGGTGCAAATAGGCTCCACATTTAGGTGACTATTGTTTTTAATTTTGTTAAAATCCAAGAAACAGCTTTCTTATTTGGTGGGTGTATACATTTTTACATCATGTATTAATAGATTTCTAGGTGCTTATTAAAATTTAAAATTTATCTTTTGGTGACCTAAAAATATGATAATACGATAAAGCCGCATTAAGATGCACCGCGTGGCATCTTTATATAACCTATTAAAAATTATTTTTTTCCTCGATCATTTTACTATCAGAATATTTCAGGAATTTTTTTTCTCAAAAATGAAATTAAAATAATATAATATGTAGGTAATGCTTTTGTGACAAACCATAAAAACTTCTGCGACCCAACTTTGGGTCGAGACCCGGGGTTGGGAACCGCCACCCTTAGGTGGTCCTGTACTCCTGTAGCGATTCAAAATTACAAACCTCTGTTTTTGAAATGAAAACACCTGTTTTTTACTTTAGTTAAATTATTTCATGGCTATTTTTCTGTGAATGTTGACATATTAGTATAGGTATTTATTACTATCAAAACTCTGAGGGACAGTTTCTTAGTTATTTAAGTGTATGTAATATGTATAATACTAGTCTATCTTATAGTATGCGCTCTACCGTGTTACTCTACAAGTATATTAAGATTTTAGACAATTTATTCTTACAATAAGTCATAAATGGGATTATATAAAAGTGGGCAAAACAACGAACAAAAATGTTGATAAGTAAGTAATATATTAGGTATTGCAATTACAAATTATCATATAATATTATCAACGTTCGTCGTTGTTTCGTTATTACTTATTCGTTTCATTATTAATTTTAAATATAAAACATTTAAACAAAAATAAAAATATTTGTGCCATGTCCTTCAGAAACGAGTTAAATATGTCACTTTTATTTATACCTCTCCACCACGTTTCAATAAGATACCTGTAATAGTTATTAAATTATAAATAGATATGTTGTAGGTACTATGTAATTATATTATTATTATATTATAATACTACACCTTGGAAGCAAATCCGGAGTTGTACCACACATATTTTTCACAATTTTTTAGCCTCAGAGGTCTCCACAAACTTTCGATCTTTTGGATATGTGCCTTTGAAATTGGATCTACGATCGAGACTTATACGATGCATAAAAAAATAGTGCTAATCTTTATTACCATTAATTCTCGATAGTAAAGATATGAATGCAATAAGCGTCCCGTAATCGTGAAGCTTATGTATAATATAATAAACTGTAAAGATATGAATTGCATATGGTATAGAGTATCGCAGGTAGAGCGCTACGACTGAGGTAAGTTAAGTTGATGGAAAACATTTAAAAAAGTTTAAAGTTAATAATTATCCTATTTTTTTTTAAACTCAATTAAGTTAAAAGTTATTTGAAAACTTATAATTAACTTATTAACTTAAGTTAAATTATTATTTTTTTTTTTTAATATATAGGCAGCTAGTTACATTATTTAAAATAATAAAAAGTAAATGTTCATGTAATATACATCATTAATAAAAATTGTATTATATTTATTATTTGATTTTTTTATAAATGAAGGAAATTGGATTTGGTTAAAAGTAACTCGTTATTTATTAAGTTTATATCAATAAAAATCAGTTAAGTTAGAAATTAAGTTAATGAAAATTAAATTTTAAAAAGTTAAGTTAAAAATAACTCAACTTTTACCTTAACTTTAACTTTTTAACTCGTTTATGCCCAGGCTTGCTATAATGTATACAATATACCTACATTTAAATATGTTTAAAGTTATAAAAAAAATTCGGCCAATCAAGACATTCATTTTTATGTACAGAAAAATAACATTAATATTTTTATGCTTAATTACAAAATAATTAATATTTAATACTTTCTAAAGAGGGTGTCATATCTCCCAAACACCCCCTATATTTATACGCCACTGCCAAGCATAAAAAAGTAAGAAGGTTTGAGCAGACTCTCATAAAATAATTAAATTTATCGACGATGGTTCTTTGTAAAGTCGTCGTATGTATTTTAATCTGATTTTAATCTAAGATAGAGAGTAGGTATTTTAAAAAATGATGTTTGACAGTCGTAATTTAATCAAGATGTTTATTACCAGCTATCCCATATTTACGATTGAACTCAATGTTCTTTCCAACTGTCGACGGCCTCTATTCTTTAATAATACAATAAAACTGTCACCTACCTACATTATATGTAATCATATTAGACATATAAAAAGTGTATCAATATTTTGTATATTAAATGTAGGTCGTACTACAGTGCCAATGTACCATACCTATTACCTATGCCTGTCAACCATGGGCACAATTTCAGTTTTTTACTCGGGTTGGGGAGGGGGAGTTATCCATATATACATTAAACGAACCCGTGGGGGGCTCTCCCTCCGACAAACATTACTTCTACATTATATTTACAACAAGGTATATTTAGAATTTATGTTATCTTATCACCTTTTCTACTTAATATACACTTTTCCTACTACAATAATTCAACTGAAAAATACATATAGGTACCTATAACAAACATATTTTCAATTTTGTAATTACTAGGTAATAAGACAATTAAAAAGCGGGTAAATGGATGAAGCTTTGATGTACAGTAGGTTACAAGTGAATCACTGTAATTTAAGGTTTTAAATTTGAATTGAATAATATATCATCGTATACGAAAAACGATTCTGAGTGGAGACGGTTTATTGGCCTAGGATATTTTATTCTGTATATATTATACATTGTTATTATTAAGTACTACTGTAGCCGGTTGAATTAATATTATTTGCATACTATCATATTTGTATACAATAATATTAAAAATCACACACGTGTTCCGTAACCCTACAGTTCCAAAAACCCTACAGTTCCAAAACCCTACAGTACCAGTACCACAACTTACAGCTAATAGCCTCAGTTGTCGAAGCTTAAAAAAATAAAAAATAAAAAAAAATATTAAAAATATACTTTAAACGTTTCAAGTACTCACGAATTATATTTTTAAATTACAACATTATAACTAAAATCGTTAATCTTGGTTAAACAATACCTATGTAATTTTGTCGAAATTTTAACGCTTATAAAAAAAATGGTTTCATGTATTTTTAATATTTTTTAATTGCTATTATAACAATATATCAGGACCATTGTATTACATTTGAAAGCTTTTTGTCCCAACGATTAACGTTTTATTTATAGAAAAAAACAAATTGAGTTTATGTTGTCAACATCTATATAAATACATAATATTATATTATAATACACCTATGTCCTAAAATTAGTATAATAATTATTTTTGGGGAAAAAAGGTAAAGGGAGGTTGTAGATACGGTACTACAGTCTGCAGACGGCAAGGCGCTACATTCATACTCCGTGACCCATGAACAGTCGTTGCGACAATGTGACAAGAGTGGTTTACTGGTTTGCAGTATGCAAGTGCAAGACGCGACGTGTCGTGAAGATCAAAATTTGTTTTGGCCTGTTATCAGTTATCACAAATAATAATATTGACTATTGTTAAGTTATTCAGTTTGAATTCTGTTCAAGTGTGTACACGAAAAAAATTTGAATTCTTAAATTTAAATAATAAATCATGGATAGATTAGTTTACAACAACAATATTTTAATCCTCCTACTGTTGGAGGAAGAGGAGGACGATGAGGTTATTTTGCTTTCTTCTTTGACGTCAAAGGAAAAAAAGCAAAAGCCAACGGATAATATCTTAAAAAATTATGTAAGTGAAAGATTTTTTGAAATACCCATTAATTAATTGACATTTAATAAACAACCGCATTACATTTTGTGAATATTTGAATATTTCCGTTTTAATCATGAAAAATAAATTTTGATTTATTATCTGTGGTGGAAGAAAAATTAATTTTATCTACAGCCTAGCTACATTTGTAGTCATAGCGTTCCGCATGTACCTATACCGCAGGGGTCTGGTGGTCTACGAATTATTATTATTTATTACCTTTTGTTATGTTAGGTTATTTTTATTATGGAGTCTCCAATCATTTTTACTAGGCATGCTCTAAGTCGGCGAAAGAAAAGTTTGGGAAACGCTGGTCTTAGGTTTATTACTTACCGATATTTTTTGACAATGTGATGCGTGTAATTTATGGAAGATAAAACTGAATTGAAAACTATAATTGAAAACTGTCCTATTTGAATTTGTGTATGGTGTACCTATTGTTAATATTTATGTCATAGTCTTAATCCTTAATGGTATAAAATGATGTATGGATCGGTTAACTATTTGGTCTAACTAATGTAAGTACCACTGTAAGTCTGTAACTAATTTCAATTTGCAAGTACCTATTCAACCCAATAAACAAAATAATCTTGTGTATTGATATTTGAATTAAGTTTTAAATTGATTTTTATTTTCCATTTTCAGAATAATATATTGATATAATATCGTTTATCAATATCGATGTATAATTTCCTGAAAATATCGACATTTATACATTTATTACAGGAGTGTAAAATATCGATATTATGATAGGTACATCACCGGTACCATAATTGTTGTCATCTCCATCTATGATTATTTTGGTTTAGTTCAAGATTTAAGCATAGACCTTATACTAGCATATAATACCAGATATTTCTCAAAGGTATATCTTTAATTGTAATTCGTGCCTTTAACGTGACTCATTTTAAATCGTGGTTTGAATATGATACCTGTTATCATGACAATAGATAGTCGTTATCAAATACAATCAAGATCACGTGTGATGTACATCTTTTTGGGAAACTGATAATTGATATGCGAATATGCGATGTGTATTATTCACATAGTACGGACTACGGACGTGATACCTTCGCTAAACTTTTGTCTGTGATGTTATTGTACTATTAATTATTATAGTCTGTAGTTAAGACAGGTTGTAGATACTAGATGTTATTAGTATTTAGTTAATATCTACTTATTACTCATATAATTCTTATGTTATGGACATTTTTCAAATAATGTAATTATTGTATATGTTGAAATAATTAGTGAATTCTTCATACTTGTACACTGTATAGTTATAACTAATCTTGTAACTATTAAAGCTTGAAACCGTATACAGATAATATATTTCTACAAATAATCATGGTAAATTCTTTTTTACAACATAATTTTAATATAATAGATTCTTTTAACAATATTGTAATTCATGTTATTTGTATTGATTATCATTGTAAATAAATTGTTACCTATTATAATTCTTAGGGTAAACCAAAAACCACTGTATTAAATGCCAATCATCCAAATAGTAGAAAGACAAAGCAATTGATCAAATCTAAACACAAGTAAGATGCAAAATATTAAATTCATTATAAATAATATTATCTTCAATGTATTTTGAACTGATTTAACTGTTTGTTTATGAGAAAAAAAATATTTAAAAATAATTACATATTAATATGGTACAACATAGGGATAATTAAATGTTATTTAAGCAACAAATTATTAGGTTAGTAAGTATTTTTAGGAAAAATTGTCTTTTGTTAATAACATTTATTGTAACAGCATTGAATGTCATGATTTTAGGATTGCATTTCGGGATAAAAAGAAGTATGTTAATTTAGCCAAACCAAGTTCATTATGTGAAAAATTAATTTGGTTCAGAGATAATATTGATAACACAATTGAGCAATATACTCAGGACACCCTCTCATCATTAATTGAAAAGTATGTATTTACCATTTATAATATTAATAAGAGTATGGTTGTTTAGAAATATAATTATTGAAAATGATTACTTATACATATTGTATTTGTAAGTGATTAACATGCAGTTAAAATTGTATAGTTCTTTGCAACTATGTATCAGACAAAATATTGAGCTATATTTTATTTATCTTTTATGGACAATTTACACAAGATTTCACATTACTGATAATATTATCTTATATTACAATTAAAATAATGATAAATATATGAATATCAGGTAGGTACACATGTCATATTTTGAATTGTTCTGTAGTTAATTGAGAATAAAGAATAATTGCCCAATTTTTAAATTGCATATAATTCATCCCCTCAAAAAAAATGTACAGTCAAATTTGAATCTAATTTGTACCTTTTTGGTGCTGAAATGGTTTTTCAGTCTGTTGTCAAAAAGATAAATATTATAAATAGCAATAATAAGTAGTATAAAACATGCATAGTTATTGGTATACTTAGAAAAATGAGTCTATTTTTAATGTATTAGTACAATTAATACAATATTTATATGGTATAATTAATATTTTAGGTATCTTCATCGTTTTGACCATGAAGCTAGTATAATCAAAGCAAGACATAAAGATAAGGGCAATCGACGATTTGCTAGTCGGGAAGATGTCATTAGACACACAATGGAACGAGAAAGAGAAGAGTATAATACTGCTGGAATTGGTGAGTTTATAGAATACCTGAATTCAGAATATTTTTCTGGAATGTATTAATGTTTTAATGTAATAAATAAGTAAATTATAAATGTTTAAAATCTATATAGATGGCAAAAATTGTACTATTTAGTATTTAATTTATCTATATATTTTTAATGTGAATCGTTTGTGTAATACACAATACACATTAATGGAACTGAACAAAATAAGTAAATATTTCTTGAAGATTTTCATAGTGAAAATGTATGCCTATTTTATGCGGGTAAAATATTTTGCTTTTGTTATCATTTTCGGGTTTATGTCATAAAGAAATGTTTCTTTGTTCTCGTCTGTAGATATTTGCATCTGGTCTCGACTTAGCATAAAATCATATTTATCTCAAAATCTTCCTTTAAAATTCCTTGAAAAATTTCTTAAACATTTAATTTTGCTATTTAAGTACTTGTTCCATTAAGTTATGTATCATTTTGAAGTATACCTACATAATATTTAATATTTTTACACAAGCTGAAAATGTCCTTATAGATAGCCAGCACCCACATCCTTATATTAACATAGAAACTATTTAACAAAATATAAATATAGCTCTATAGGTAATATAAATAATTATGAGTTATTTAGAAAAATAATAAATTTGTTTATATTATCTATGATTATTAATATTTTTTAAATTAGTAGTTATTTCATTTTTCATCTTAATTTAAAGATATTATGTGTATTTAATAGTTTTATGATTACAAAGATGTAAATACTGCTAAATCCAATAATATTCAAAATGTTTTAGTTTTTGGAAATTTGACATAAGTACTAATATGTCAAATATTGGTATATTTATAATCTTAAGAATGATAATAACATATTATAATTAATTTTATTTGTTTCAAATATTTTTTAGAAGTGCCAAATATTCTTGAAGCCAGTCAGTTACTGTATTTGCGCACCTGGGATGGTGACATAAAGTATCTACCAAATTTCAAAATAATCCGCTTTCGTTGTTTAAATTTGATTTAATTAAACCTAATTATTAAAAAAACTACCATATTATATGCTATCAATGTTTTTGTTTGTTACTATTCCTAAAATATTTTCCTATTTGGTATTATTATATGTGTTAGGTTATGCGATGACCCGGGTTAGGATTTTAGGAACAGTATTTGCTTATTTTTTGGTTTTACCTATAATTTAGTAAGTGCTATGGAAATATATGTACAACTGGTAACACCGACAAAAACATGTCACGGCCTGGGTAACTTCCTATGTTGATTAAAGTATAGTTTTTTTGTTTTATTTTCTTGTTTAAAATGATAAATTTGGTAACAAGTGACAAAAACTAATTCATTCTTGTGGTCTTAGAAATAAATAATTAGTACAGGAACCTAAGACCTAAAAAGTACCTAGTATTTTAAAATATAAGAACTAAAAAGAATAGCAGAAACTTTTAAGGGACACTAATCATTTCTTAATTTTTTGCAGTTTTTTAAACAGTGGTTGGGAGGGTAATCACTTTTTTGATTGATTTTTCCTTAATTTAATGTATTTTTAGCCCATATTTGGACGATTTTTAGTACTTTAATTTATGAACCCTGATAATGAACTAATGAATATTGAACTATTTCTCATACTTTAGTCTTTAAGGGTGGTTGTACTATTTGAGAAACGTATTTAAAAAACATTATTGAAATAGAGTTAATTGTAATTATTCCTTGTATAAACTTTAGCTGTTGAAACAAAAGCATTTATAAAAGAATTCTAAAATGCTCTGTTCTTTCTTTTCATTATAAGAAACTATTTTATTATTTTAATTAAATAAGAATAAAAGCTGTCATTCACTAAAAGGATAAAGGCAGAGACAATAGAAAAGTTTTCCTGAAAAACACATATTGTTAAGTCATAACATAATATTCAAAACATCTCTGAATTAAATCCCTATAAATAATAGTCTTTTAGAAAATTCTTGGTGTATTATTTTAGTTCCTTGAATTAAACATTTTATTTCCTAGGTATTTTTTTTTTTGTTAAATTTAATTTCGATTTTATATTTTTGAAATTGAATTAATCATAATTTTTTGAATAAAAATAGTAAAAATCAAAATTTACGGTACTGAGCAAAATGTATTTGAAACAATTATACTTTTCTTGTTAGTGTTGAAAAAATATTTAAATAATTTCCTCATAAAAAAAATATGAGCTTGCTTAATGTTTATTTTTTCACGTTACTGGTAACCATGAATCCTCAATTAAAAATAATTCGAGTGTAATTGTTTTTAACTCGTGAATTTTTTAGAAGATGGGCGTCGAATATAAATCAGCTTTTCACTCATAAAAAAAAAAATGTTACCAAACAAATACAAATAAGTATTGCTATGGCTCTAATTAAAAAAAAAAATATGCAATGTGAAACGTATATCACACATCGCGTATTGACTATACAATATAATAATAATAATATTATGGTAGCTATTAAACCATTTCGACCGGACGTTTTGTAAATACATTTAACTCATCGGGTTCCTAACTCGCACACACACACACGCACACGCGCAAGTGGCGTCATTACAGTTTCGTATAAATGTATAATGCATGCATGTTGAACGTTGGTATTATATGTCATTCAAAAAATATATAGATTTTTTGGCCAACAGGATGCAAAACGATATCCCCGATTCCGGATGCGTGAATCTGTTTTCGTTTCGTTGATTGCGTCCGATTTTCGTTTGATTGCAATTCAGATTAAACTTTTGTCACACCAATAATAATAATAACAATAATAATAATAGTAATCATCGTAATCATTCTGTATACATATATATACACATAGGCACCTACAGCATGTATTTAAAAAAAATATTATGTCACACAGTCGGCGCCCCGCGAGTTGTATCTCTCGTGGAGCAAATCGCTTTTGTTTTAGTCCGCTGCGCTCGTGTCGGATTACAAAAATATATGTACGTACCTACCTACACCGTTATTATTATTATAGAATTCGGTAAACGTACGCGATTTCCCTTCTCGTTTTTTCCCTCCCACAACCAGGTCGAAATCCCTCCGACCCTTTTTCGTTCACCTACGCCGACACTCTTTACCAACCCTATCCCCCTCGCTCGACAAACCTACACCAGTCGACACGTACCATTCGTGAGCGTGTACGTGACACAAAATTTAACTACCCGCACCCACCTACATGCACTCACCCGTCTACCCACGACGATGATGATGATGACGGTGTATATATCAGTATTGTACACACACTCGAAATCAACCGATTCCCACGGCGTGCGGTTGGATCGTCGAGTCGGAGACGCCCGCCGGATGTATATAAATAAATATAGGTATGTAGATTTTTATAACAAACCTCCTTAGCCAGAGACGGTGCTGCAGGTGGGTGTCTTCACTAGCACCGGCGGTGGTGGCATCCTCCCCCCACCCCCCGATAAACCGTAAGTAGCTCTTGCAGCTATATACATGTACGAGTATATACGTATATATAATACACCAAAACATGCCTATACCTACCTATACCTTTATATCGCCAGTGCGTGTCTGTATGCACAGGATTTAGATGTCGCGTGTACTACTCCTCCCCTGTCTCACCCCGAGACCCGCGACTACCCCCGATCGCCGTCGCCGACTTAATGGCCGAACGTATCCGATCACGTATGTACCTACCTATATACCCATCATACATGATGCCTCTCGTATTTATATTACACATATCTATGTATAATGTTTCGCGTAAACACGGCCGCGTGGTCGCGGACAGTGCGCTCGACGGTCGTCGCCGTAATAATACTAAACGAGTTCATAAATCACGCCGCGGTTTTGAGCGATAGCGGTTCACCGTGGGTATAATGGCGCGGCTATACAGCAAACGTGCAGCCCCTTATTATATGTGTACATACGATAAATATATAGTAATACTGCGGACGTATACCTGTATGATAGTGCATTATTATGATAATACACCGCAGCGAGTCTGTTTGATAATAAAAATAATATTGTGTCCCATCAGTTGTCCGCCGTCGCGTGTTTTATTCGTCCGGGGTCCTCGCGGCGCTGATTTACGATCGGCTTTTAACGAATTACCCATTGAACGGGTACGTGCCGAAACGACGACGGCGACCGCAGATAGAGACTGCAGCCGGCCCACGTTGCCGAACTGCATGGATACGGTTGAAAAAGAAAATAATATTATATGCGAATAGGAAGGAAACGAAAGTATGGGTGCCCACCCCCCTATCCTGCAACTGCAGCAGCTCCTCTACCCCTCCCCCCCCACATATTGCAGCGTGTTAACATAGGTTAGGCGTGTAAATCTTCGGTGGCTGTATTATAACAGTGTCGCAGGTGTCGCCGAGCACTTTTTTACGCTTTGCCTCGGAAGGAGTTAATTTGACTGGGACTCGCCCAACTTACATAACATCAAATATCAATGCGCAGTCGCAACCACTTTTGCCGTCGGTCGTTTGTCCTGCAAACGCATAACCTGTCACCACCCCCCTCCCCCCCCCAACGTTTATTCACGTCATTATTATTGCGGAGGGAAATATTTTATACTGTTTTCATTTCCGTTGTACTCGTGCGGGCCGACACTGCGGAGGATGGCCGAGGGTGTGAGGTACCTACGCGTGATCGTTTATTAAAAAACAATATCGCGCGCGAGAGCCCTCACTAAATATATTATACCTATATATATATATATTTGTGTACTGTATATACTTTAAACTGTTTACACCTATATATAGGTAGGTACCGAGCGAACCTGTGTGCAGTGTCGCCGAGGCTATTGTCACCAACTGCCGTCGAAATGAACGGTAAACGATAAATTATTAATTAAATTTTCACCGCTCGAGGGCACACCGCCACACCGGTGGCAAAACGAGTTAGGTGGCGGTGATTCAACGGGAAAATAAAAAATTAAATAAAAATGGAATTTCTGGCGGACATTTAAAATTTATTTGGTTACGGAAATCTTACCACATTTTGTTCGTGGCGAGGGAGCGAGGGACAAGGGTGACGTCGTATACGGTGTTTCCGTTTGGGGGATGCATTTACTACACAGAAACTAAAAGTTATGATTTTTTTTATTATTAATTTTTCTTCTTATACTTATATACACCACTAACCGTCGTTTACGGTAGAGAAAGTTTTATTTGGCACTTACTCTTATACATAATATATTAGATGAATTGTAGTTATTTTAGATTTTTGAAAATCCGACGTGACCCCTTATATATAATTATTTATTATACTATGATGTATTGCTTTCAAGCAGAACCCATTTCGTCTACTTAATTAAAAAAAAACCATATTTAAATGTTTGTTACTGGTTTAGACCAAATAATATTGCGCAACAGTATGTAAGTAACATTTCCCTCGGTATAATATAGAACTCGCGAGCATAACAATAAATTATTATACCTAATATTTCAAACTACCAGCGGATTACATCTTATATTGCTTGGGCTGGATAATACTGTTTTGAAAATTTTTAATTCGACGCTATTATGAGTTATGGTCCTAAATGACCTAAATCATATTTCAGTTTTGGTAAACGGTTTATGATATAAGTATAATGTATTACATGTTCCTAAGTATAAATGTATAATGTATATAGAGTAGTATAGGTAGGAAGTAGGGACACACTATTTCGTAAAGTAGGTACTACAAAATATTTGTTATTAATTATATTGCATAAAACATCAGCTGTTTGGCGCTATTCGCCGTGGCGTTATTTGCGCTTACCTACAGCGGATACTGGACACTCTTAAAATAAAATCGAAATAATCATACCTAAATATTATTTTATCTATAGAACATCCGGTTCGGATGTGAGCTACGACTTAACGATACACAAACATATTAAGTAGTAGGTAACATAAGACACATTAGCGTATTTAAGTTACCGCGTTACACCAAAACTCGCATAATTCGTTTCACCTGATTGAAAATTGACTATAGATAATGCATAATAATATTCGATATATTTTGTAACGTGATGATAATGATAATATTATAGTGTTAAATAAAAAATAGTAAAATATGTTAC